GAATGTCTAATTCCAATCTGTGTCACGTGATATAACTCTTTATTCTTCTTTTTCAACCAGTTCAACATAAAAAAAGATGTTGTTACGACATAGTGGTATATCAATTGAATTTTCTGGACAATTCTTATTCTTTATTTTATAACTTCACATTAAAACACGTGCGTGACTTCAGTACATTAGGCATCTCTTAGCAATATAATATTACTATTGTTCGGCGACTTAGTTTTAAATTCCGAGATTTTTACGAGCTTTTGGGTCACTAGGTGTGAGTTTCAACTAACGTCAGAAGATGAAACGGAAGTTATATTTAACTTCTTGCTCTTCTACTACAAAAACATGTGGACTATTTGTCGTCCCGTTATTGACCTAACCGCCAGCGAAATCAAATGAAAATGTCATAAAATAAAATGTTATTGTCGTGAAAACCTCGAAAAAAGATAAGCAGGCAGATTTCAATTACATAACAAAGCCATATCCTTGAAAATATCCATATGGCAATCCAGACACGCACGAATCGGCTGCTTACTCAATTAGCCTGATTAACATCGAGAGCCTCTATTCTGAAACATTCAATTACTAGCCCCTTGAGTGTCTCTCTCCTTTCCCGCGACGCGCGTTTATTAAGCGTACACAGGTAGGAGAGATGTAGCGCATGATGAAGCCCAAGGCACCCTCGCGAAGACAGCCCGACAAACATATAATGTAAAAAAAGAAAATCATCATATCTTATTTATTTTTAATTGTACATGATAAAAAACTAGTTATTTTTAATTGTACCATTTTAATTTTGCCAAAAATTAGCAACAAAGGGTATTGAATATTTGCCTTCAATATATTGCCTTTGGAAGGAAAATATTTAAAAAATGAAATGGCAGAAAAATTGTACCTTCTGTAAATTAAATTGTACCATCCGTAAAATAGCATAAATTTACTTAGAAAATAAATAATATGAAAACAACCAATTGACATTTATTATGAGTAACGTATCCGGAAGTACACTGTGCGCATGAAGTCAATTGGTTGTTTTCATATTATTTATTTTCTAAGTAAATTTATGCTATTTTACGGATGGTACAATTTAATTTACAGAAGGTACAATTTTTCTGCCATTTCATTTTTTAAATATTTTCCTTCCAAAGGCAATATATTGAAGGCAAATATTCAATACCCTTTGTTGCTAATTTTTGGCAAAATTAAAATGGTACAATTAAAAATAACTAGTTTTCTATCATGTACAATTAAAAATAAATAAGATATGATGATTTTCTTTTTTTACATTACATGTTTGTCGGGCTGTCTTCGCAAGGGTGCCCAAGGCACATTAACAGAGTACGAATAAACATATGTGCGTGTGTACGCCAACCAAGCTGCCAAGTTAACATTTCGTTTGGGCTTGTTAGCGCAGGGATTCTATCTCACATAAGTCGCCTGCAGCATTTCGCGAACTCGTTCTCTTATTCGTATTTTTCTGTCGTTTCTCGTTTTATTCTTCTTTTTTTCTACTCGGCTACCCGTAACTTTTTCCTGTTTTTGCGGTGAGTCACGTTCGTACCGCGATGCGCAAATTAAATAGGATAAGCTCCTGGCCGTAAGGCTTGCCTGGCTAAACTTTGTTTACGTGCGGGCAGCTCTAGTAAAATTTGAGCTGGCTTTTTCTTTTTCGGCGTTACGAAAAGTGTTTCAAGACAGCTTGGTGTTGTTTTCTCGACATTATATGTTAAGCTTTAAACTCTGTTGACATACAGCAATATTTTCGTAGTATTTGCGTTTGAATCAAACTTTATCTCTACGTAACATGTATAAAACTTTTACGTCGATGGAGAGTATGAGTGGCCAGTTCACATGGTACACATTTATATATCTGAATACGCTTAAATTGAACTTTTAACTAATTACACAAGTGTGAACTCTAACTTTGTTGTTCAATACGTTCAATTGCCACAATTTTCCGTGTATTTAGAAATTGTTCAAACAGGAGTTATTCCAGTTATAATTTAAAAAATCATAAAACTCTAAGGACTAGAGAATTTATCTGGAAAGAAATTAATTATAATAATTATAGTAATAAAATAAAATATATATTTTGAATTATTTGTATTGGTTGGGGAGAAGTATTAAAAATAAAACAAAACCAGTATTGACGTAATAGAAATATTAGTAAGAATAGAATAAAAATTACTAAACAATAGCGCAGAACGAAAGGAACACAAACAAGTGGCGTAAAATTTAATTGGGTCGACCAGTGGCATTTTTCGAGTGGTTGGGTTGAACTCTTTTTTTTATGTATCTAGCTCCGTTGAATTTAATTGGAAGATAGAAAAGCTTCGCACGCTCGCACAGTTTGTATATGCGTGGGTACAATACGTGAGCCTATACATATTTATAGATATATAATGCTTATGACAAACGCAGATGCACAACTCGAAAAGTGTCAACTGCACCCATAGTAAATTGACGAGGTTAGATATTATCGGATGGATTTTCATTTTGTACAGATAAAGTTCTAGTGACTTTTGAACAAAAGAGATTTATTATTGATTCATACAATTTTTTCTATTTCATGTACCAATATTATTTTCTATAGAGTTTAAAAATAATGACTAGAATGATGCGTTATCAACTATCGCTACAACTGATAAAGTCTGTTTTGTCAATAAAAATAAAAGGAATCAAATCTTTTTTATAATTTTGGTTATCTCCGTTCTAAAAAAAAATTATCGTAAATTTGATAATCGAAAGTCAATAAATTGAAAGTCAATAAATCGAATAAAACTGTATCCTACTGCTTGCAATGTAGAAAAAAAATGAGAAAACGTTTAAATGATTTCTCAAGGGCCGAGACGGAAAATTGGTTGCAAGCATTGCCGAGGGTTTCAAATAATGGATTGCTCATTCTAATAAAGAAAGAAAAGAACTTCATCAATAGGTCACTGATCTGTCACCATCGCCGTAGTTACGTTTTGACTCTCCTATTCCTTTTTTTTTGTCAAAAAATCTATCAGTTCCTCTTTATCTACTAAATTATATACTTAGATTAATATGTCGTTCTTTCGCACTTGTCCTGGGGTATTAAAGTTGTTTAAAAAAGAGTTTTTTACATTTATTCGATAGCACAGTACACACACACACACGCGCGCGCACACAGATACACATATACATAGGAAATAAAAGAAATTAGTCACAGCTATTTTCCAATCCTTTGTCTAAACAATAGATAATGAATTCTATAAATGAGTTTTGTTACGTTCGCATCAGCTATTCAGCATTGAAATATCCTATTGCAGTCACTTAAAAAAATTAAGATCTTTTTCACCTATTATAATTAAAACAACATTATCAATAAATGTTAGATCTAAGATAAAAATTACAATTTAAGCTGTATATTTTATAATTGTATTATCTACCTTTTCCTTAATAATCAAACATGTAGTCCCCTTGAGTTTGGAGTCCAGTATATTTATAGTTTTAAGAATTATTCTTTGTTTTATTATCTACTTAAAAAATAATAAAGTGATTATAATTTAAAAAAATTTCCTTATTGTAAAATAAAAAAAAAATGATTAACAACATTGTAGAACACCTATAATAATAATTTAATGTTAAGAACTAAATTCAAACGTGTATTTCTATCAAATTAATGAACCGAAAATCGATTGTTAAACGTGATTGAGTTGAAGTGGGTATACATCACTTCTATTCTCTATGTCTTCAACTAACATAATTAACGAATAAAATAGAGATTAATGAATCGATTCTTAAATTTAATCTTTCTCCTTCTATAATAGTCATAGTTTTTTTCAAGTAAGATAATTATCATTACTATTAATATCATTACAGTAAATTAGTCTAGGTACAGTGAATAAAAAAGCTTACGAGATATATCGACAATAGAATAGTTGAAGAATTGCTCAACGTTAAAATAAACTGCTGAATTTTTACGTAAATTGCACTTCATTGTTTCGATAAATGTTTTATTCGACATTTCATCCGTACTATCTTTACTGTATATCATTTTTCATGCCTATCAGTTTTTATTTTATGATCCTTTGAATTTGATGGTCCAGTATTTTGTGGTTATTACGAAATGTAATTATAAATACAAAAAAAGTTTGAATACTGATGATTGCTATATTATTAGCGTATGTATTTTCACTATCCTAAAAAAATCACTACTGAATATGGTCATTTGAATGATTCAGCATTTAAAAAAATCGATTTTTACATAACAAAATATGAAAAAAAAAATAATTCATACTAGTGATCTAGTTAAATTATCTGTGATTAAAGAAGTCGTTTCCTACATCCAAAAACGATACTTTAATTTTATAAGCTCTTCGAATGTTTTTTTCTGCATTTAAAAGTACTTTTCATAGATAATTGCATTTGATGAATATGAGTAATATTAACTTTCAATAACTTTTTCCATGAACAACAGGTTGTCTTGACAGATTGATATAGGTTGCAAGTTTAGTTTATGTAGTGGTCCGACAGTATTTTCGTGCCCAACATACGAAATACAAACCGAAGCTTCATTCACACATACATGTGCCACGTATACAACACGACCGGTGACGGCACATTGCTATTCATGTGGTTTCATGAATTTTCATCGTACCGCAACACATCATTGCTCGTTATAAGACCTTCCTGCAGCCGCCCGATAACTTCAAAAATATTTTCCCGTTCCTAGTTAACTGCAATTATTTCTTTTTCTAGAATACCAACTTTATAAATCTATTAAAACTGTTGAAAATAAAATAGGTATGGAAACTGTGATCCATATAGCGACAGAATTCTTCATTTATGAAGAGCTTTGATTTAATTGCTTATATGAAACAAAACCAAATGAGTTTTCAAATGAAAAATTTCATTTGTTTTTAGTTGATAGATTTAGAATAGTTTTACAGAATTTTATTCAATTATCATAACATCCACATTTATTTTATTAATATAAAAATAACAATACTTTACTAATAAAATAAATAATATTTATTGTTTAGTTATCGGAGGACATCGGCTACGTCGTGTATTCAGCGCTCGGTAGTTTTTACATCCCATCGTGCATCATGGTGTTCGTGTACATTAGAATCTACTTCGCGGCGAAAGCACGAGCGAGACGTAACATGAGGAAACCGCCAAGACCAAGGCCAGCAGCAGCACCGCCACCTGAATCTCCGGACATAAGACAGACGAGTTTCACGCACACGACAACGGATACTGAAACACCTGGTGGCACTGCGAGTAACGATCCCAATGCTGGCAAGATACTCGAGAACGTTGCCACCATCGAGAATCAACAACCCGTTCAGATACCCATCGTTACCTGCGATTTTGCTAGCGACGTCAGCACCTCTGAAGCTGATCCTGCTATCGGTAGCAATATACCTCTCGAGGAAAAGGATACGCTTAAGGTAAGGTTTATTCTCTCTTTTTTTTATTCTTCCTTAGCTCTTCCTTGTCATTAATAAATTTGTTTTATTTAGTTTGTCAATATGTTTGAAAAAAAAAATTTACTTAGGAGTACTTTGTAAAAGATTAATAGGCATGATATGCATCCCTGTAACTGTTTTAAATAAATGCTAGTTTATCGTGAAATAAAATAAAATTTTTTTATATGTGAACAAAAATAATAATATTTGTGATATTCTTTAATGGATAAACAAAACCGTCCATCATTTCTTTTAACAATTACTATTGATGTCAAATTATAAAGTTTGTTATTTCTAAGCAAATAATATTTTTGTATACCATCATTGTAAAGTCAAATTTTTATATATTTTGTATGTAATTGAAAAAATGACAATCATTATTTAACAGATTTTCGCTAAACTATATTTAGTTGACTAGTGGTATATATTCACTTCTGCATTCTCAAAATACTATACGTCTGGTTAATTTTGCAATATTCATTGAAATTCGATTTTCACGTTGAAATATTCAATTTTTTAAAATCAAATTTTTAATAATATTTCTTTAAAATAGATAATCATGGACAGAAAATATAATATTTAAATATCTTTATATAGTTTTCAACTATATATTAACTTTCGCTTGAGTAGATTTTAATTGAATTTAAATTGTGTAATCAGATAATATCATTAAAAATTAGAATACTACAAATTCGAACAGAAATGTTTCAAGAACATTTTCAAGTGATTTATGCTCTATTCCAAAACACCGAAGAAGTAGTTGCCATAAAAATCTTGGACAAACATGTAGCAAAAATCCATATTTTAAAGCTCGATCGATCAATCGCAAATCTTCCAAGGCATGCACATATATATATATATATATATATATATATATATATATATATATATATATATATATATATATTCGTGGCGTTGATACTATGTAGAAAATATATTACATCTGGAACTGTGCTTATTCAACCTGGAGATCTTTTGAAAAAGCATAAAAATTCTCGTTTCATTTATCAAAAGCTTTCGAATGCAGCAGCTCTTGGGCTTGAGCAAACAAACAATGGATCAAAAAATATATTTCTAAAGTTCAATTTTCTTCGTTGGTGGCATTACTTTGGATTTTGATATAGGTTATATCGTATTAGAGTTGAAACTACTTATGAGAACTGCAATAATAAAAAATTTTGGAAAGTTTATTGTCAAATTACTTTGTTATGTGTAATGAGAAAACAATGTTAAAAAACTAGTTCGAAATACAAAATAAAGATTTCTTTTTTTCAGAATGATTTACTTAACAACGTAAAAATCCATAATGACATCAAATTATGAACTTTTATCAAAATTTAGTATCAATAAACTATGTAACATTGCTTATCTCTACTTACAACTTCGATTTTTTTCTGGTGCAAAGCTTTTATTAACTTAATACATTTAGTGTCTCATAAACCGGGTCAATCATGGTCGATAGACTTGAAAAATATTATCACCTTTAGTTTACTTTATACAGCTAATCATATAGATTTAATTGTCTAATTTTATTATTTTATTATGCATATTAACATCTATAGTGCGCTTTGATTTTTCAAGTAATGCACATAGAAAATTATTCTCGTAGTACAGATAATTCGTCAAGATTTAGAAAAAATAGAACAAAATGCGAATACATAGTAATAATGAAAAATATGTTTAATACGTTTTGGCTATCATAACCCTCTCTTTATTAATCCACAAGTAAACAGCTGCTTCTTCCCTCCCCTCTATGCCTATACGCTGTAGTAAATTGATAACGTGCAGCGTTTTCCAAAAACACTCCTGTGAGAAAGGTCGAGAGAAAAGAGGAAAGAGCATCGAGGTCAAGCTTTTATGAGGCACTCGTAGCATTTCAAGCGCGTAAAGGCGTTATTAAGTCTGTAAAAAATTGCTATGCCCATTTTATGAGGCGACCGTAAACACAATCCCGCACTGCGTGCCACGAGCTGCACACACACAACCGAAGTGTAAATGCATCATGACCGCAATGATTTTTTGTCATCGATGCAAGGTAAAAACAACAGGAAACGGAAAAAGTTAAATCGATATTGATTCGCGTGGACTTTTCAATCATTAAAAATCATACTGTTACGCGAATAAAACGTATAATGAAAATACCTTTTGTGTTTCATCAAAAGTTAAAACTCGCGTGTATACATATTTATAGCTGTACTTTATTTCCATACATAAACATACGAAGAATTTGCCTTGTTCAAACGCGCATTTTATTAAACTTGTAACAGGAAAAGTGGAGCAGTCCACGAGGGATTGTATACTTACGAGTTTTTATCTGTTTCTACTTACTTTTCTACTATGCCCATGTGAAATATTCTAATGACACGATAAACAATAGGAAAGCTTGCACGCTCGATGCAAAACTTGTACTAATGACAGAAATTTTATAAACATTTTCAAGACATCCTATTTCCTTGAATGATTCAGGAATTGAGCCCTTAAAAGCTCTCCTGCAATAATGCAATACAAACTCGAGACCACTGTGCAGACAGTAGTTCTATGACAATTTCGATGCAAAGTGTCTTATTTCGTCGAACAACAGCCTTTTAGAGAAAAATGAAGCGAGAAGAAGATCATAGGATTCGATTGCACTACGATCACTTATCCAAACGACGATGCGGCGCGCACTTTCGAAATTCAATAGATTCACGCGCGCACAAACATCGACCCTAATGAGATTATAGCGAAGAGGTATCTGGGCAAAGGCCAAAAACACGACGATAACTCCAGTAAGCTCCCTCCTCCTTTGTCTTCTCAAGATTGTACTGTAATCTGTAATATTTACCTCGTTAAACCGTTCTGTGCCTTGGAACAGTCATTAGAATCACGCTTATAACTTTGATACCCTGAGGAAACGTGTCTTAACATTACTCAGACCCCGATTTCATTATCCTTTTTTCTTCGACCCCTTTCTGCTTCTTTTCGTTTTGCACAAAGGCCATCGGATACTACTTTAATACCATGTTGCTTGGAAGTAATATATTATTATGGCATCGTGTGTGTGTGTGTATGTATGTGTGTGTGTATGTTGGTTTGTGTACACGATGATTTATGTCTTTTAAGAAAAAAGAAATATATGTGTTTTGGTTCGTCTTATTCTCTGAACCTCACACGCTGAAATATTTCTTTCTAGTCGACGTCAAGGATATTATTGGTGCTTACTTTTACTTTGCCGATATTCGATCTATGTTAATTTTTATTGATCTGCTTAGATTTTTTTTTTCAAACTATAAATTCAATGCGATTATTTTCACGAGAACTGTTTTATGATTAAAAATAGCATATGTACATATTAAAGTGTTTGAAAAATTTATGATGGTAAATAAAACTTTTCGACAATATTCTTGCTTTAGATAAAAACTGTCGAATTCTCTTAGAAACTTGTATTAACTACTAAAAATTAACTTCGTCGAGAATTACAAATACCTCCCAGGGTGTAACTTACGAAGATCCTGTATTATGTGCTTGCTTTTTACCGCTTACGTCTAAACTTTAATAATGTTGTGTGCACTTACCACAGATGCTTAATCGTCTCTTAGTAAATAATTAAAACCTGCTGCTTCCAAGAACATAGTTTTTATTAAAATAATAATTTTTATCTCATATTTTATCTATAAGTCGTTTCAAAAGAGCTTTTCCAGGCAATTAAACAACATTTTCAAAAGTTACGTCCTATCCAACAAAATACCGATTAAAAACTCAACATTCCTTATTGCAATTTGTAATTCGCCGTAGTATCTCGCATAAATTAAAATGTGTAGCCATAACGCCCAACAAAATCATTTGCGGATATGTCCGACTTCAATAACCAAAACACAATAGCTGCAATATCGCCGTTTTCTTTGCTTACACGATATTCATTAATTAAAGTTGATTCATCAGACAAATGGCGTATGTTAGAAATTTCGTAAGAGGCCCTGTCGCAATGTGCTTTGCGTTGGTAGTAGGCAGTTCAAAATGGAATCCATTAAATTCCAGTTGACAATCCCATTATGATGGGATCGTCTACTAAGGCGAGCGCGCAGACCTAATTACTTGCTACTACGTCTCTTGTCCTCGTCATCGTCGTCGTCGTTCACTAGATAGAAGAGCAAGCTACGGTCTACATCATTTTCTTGTACTTTATATATCTTTCACTCTCCCATCCTCTACCTATCGTTTTCATTCGATTTTGAGCTTGTTATCGTTAAAATTTCATTTTGTATTTCACAGATATTAACTGAAAAGAAGTTGTCTTGGACGCTAAGAGAAATTTTTTGCTAAAAAATATGTTCTCAATACAAGGTTACTTTTTGGCATCATTTCAAAAATTGATTATTGTTTGGTAACTCTCATTTAATCTTATTCTAAATTGATATAAAATGTTATAAATAATAAAAATTCAAAATTATTAACTCGACGGTTACATTCGAGATGCCCCAATTATTTCATTTAAAAAATTCACGTACAAAAATACGTATAAGTCATAGATAAATAATTTTATTAATTGTTTACGCCAAATGGTAGAGTAGAAATTACTTTTGGAGAGTTGGAAATATCACGGACTTATTAAATTACTAGAATATGAGAGCTGAACGTTTCGTTCCATATCTGCCCGCCGGACTCGTCATTATAGCTATGATGAGCAGACAGTGCCATAGGTGTCATATCGTAATAAATTTAAGTGATTTAATTTTAGCGATTCATGAACGAATAAATCGCAAACGACTCAACCCCGCTACTGACTTTATTAATCTTTAGGATCCTTCGCGTTACGTCTCTGCTGTACGAAAAAAAGAACACATCCGCGTATTTTTCAAATTACACGTTGTCTCAATTTTTGTTAGTTTCCTTCATATCAGTAAATGTTTATTTAATTTTGAGAAATTCTCTTATCGCAAAAAGAATTTACACGTACAAAAAATAATTTTCTTGTAACAAGAAAATTTATTTTTTGACTTGCCTTGTAACAAGAAAGTAATGATTTTTAACAAATCTTGTATTGATAATAAGAAGTAATGATTAGTAGAAATATAGTTCATTTTAATGTGACCAAGGAACTTTTTGCAAGCTTTTTTTAAACTCGGAACAGAAGATTTTTCTTGTTGTAAAAGGATTTCCGTTTGGGCTTCTTTTGAGAGTAATATTTTACGGCAAAAAGGATCTTTTTATTACAAGAAAACTCCGTTTAGCACTAGAAACTTCGATTTAAAGGACAATAAATGAACTTAATATAATATTTTCTTGATAGTTAAAAATTAACTGAAGAAACGTATGTTTTATTAATGTTCCAGGTGGCGATGCCAATGTCCATGAAAAAATCCAGCCTGAAAGCGACCTTATCTGTGAACGGTGAGGGTCAATCAGGTTTGCCATCACGTTGCCGTGCACCAAGCGTTGGTATAGACGTGGACATGGTTTCGGAATTGGATCCATCGTCGTCAGACAGCGGGGTAGTGTCGCGTTGCGCGGTGGTAAAGCCATTGAAGTTGCGCTTTTGCAAGCCAATCTTCGGTCGCAAAGCGCTGGAGAAGCTGCGCCAGCAGCAGCAGCAGCAGCAACACGGTGGCGGGGTCGAGGCGCAACGCGACATTATGATAGAAATGAAGCCAAAGCCACCGCGCGATCCGGAGCGCGAGAAGCGTCGTCTGGCGAGGAAGAAGGAGAAACGTGCGACTTTGATACTTGGTCTTATAATGGGTAGTTTTATCGCTTGTTGGCTGCCTTTTTTCTTCTTGTACATCGTCAAGCCGATGTTTCCCAGCTTTCAAATACCTGACTACGCATTCGCTATCGCTTTCTGGCTTGGCTATATGAACTCGGCCCTCAATCCCGTCATCTACACGGTGTTCAACAAGGACTTCAGAAGAGCCTTCCGTAGGATACTCTTCAAATGAGACGCGCTTCCGCGCAGGAAGCGCTTCCCTGTATTCTCCTGATGGCACGCCTAGTGTCTGTAATAGTAAGTATTATTATTCTTCGTCCTGTATCTGATATATCGAGGATTGCTGAAACGAGTGACTAGACCAACTACGTCCTTACGAATGAATCGATGACGCTTTGTCAAATTAATTAGATAAAACAGGCTTAAATTATTCAAAATCATCATCGATTAAAAAAAAAATATCTAAACGAAGGAAAAAGCTATAAATAAATAAATAAACAGTCATAGCAGCATTACTTATATTCATTTCCAAATTTGAAATAACTCGTGTTTGGAACTATTCACTATTCCACCACCATTCTCGTCGTACAAGTAAAAAGAGATCGACTTAATACAATTCTCTTTTCACGAGCAATTAAACTGACATCTATAAAATTTTACGCTTCCTTGACTTACATACAAATTGAATGTCTTAACCAGCGTGACTAAATCCATAGTTTCTGGAAATTGAATGTGGAATCGAGTTTCTTCTTATTAGCACGCTGTATATATGACAGATTAAGTATACATCGATCTATAGTAAATTGGCTTGAATTGTGAAATATGTGAACAGTGAATCATCATACACTTAACGTGAATATTAGTTGATCAAACCGAAATGTATCGCAGGCTCAAGCTTACAGCGACTGTTCATGAATTTCAGTGCATTTTATTGCTCTTGAATACTTAGTCAAAATCGATACTAAAAGCGATAATTGACACATATTGCTTCCTAAGCGTTGTTTACAGCACACAGAAGACTTCAATAGAAGCCTGCTATCAATACGTTATGTAACCCTTTTATGATTAAAAATCAATTTAGCTCGAGCAAAATTCATTATTAAATTTCGACCTTCAAAGCATCAGAGGATGGATAAATGTAATCAGCGTTATGTATATTTTTTCTCATTGCAGATCTTTATATTAGTGCACAAAAACCAAAAAGTCACACACCAAGAAAAGCAGATTTTCCGATGAAAACGACTGAAAACGGAATTAAAAGAGTCAGCGGTTGTATATATACATAGCTGGTGAGATAACAACAAATTCGATTATAGCGGAAGAGGAGGCATTTCGCAAATATATTTTGGAAAGGAAGAGAGAAAATCGAGATTGGACGCCGTCCTGCAAAAGAAAAAGGAAAAAATTGTGTGCCGCAGCATATAGATTCGGTGCCTTTTTTTCTGTCTTCGATGAGTGTGACTATGGGCAAGGAGCGCAAGATGGTTCCTATTATATCGAAAGAGAGAGAGAGAGAGAGAGAGAGAAATGTTCGTTGCTTCGACACGAGGAACAAAAAAAGAAGGTATACATAAATAAAAGCGACAACGTAAGAAAAACTTTCAAAACACATCGAAAAAATATCTAACGTAGTCCTTATACGTGTATATTGATGATCTGTACATTGTAAGATTGAGCGATTGAGAATTACGATGCGTGAAGCTATAGATTAACTAGGTATCATTTTGAGCGACTGTTTTTCTCTCATCTTTTACTTTTTCTTATTGATATGCAAAAAAGATTCTTCTCAGAGGTCTTTTGAGCGATGGAAAAAACAGAAAAAACCACAAACACAATAAAATATAAATGCAAAATAAAATATGTCGCATTTCTTCAAATTGATATTGTAAAGATATATAATTAAGAATAAATATTTGGACGAACTCGTTAAATAATTTAATACTCTGGACCAATTGTAGGTATATACATTGACGTGGTTACATAATAGCTTTAAAAAAATCACAAAAATGTAATATGTTGTATAAAGGATAAAACCTTGAGCAGCTATAAGTAATGCAAACAGCATATAAAAAAACAAAATAATTAATCAGCTCTACTAGAAGCCCTTTTATTTTTTTTTTTGAGAATGAAGTAAATAATATCAAAAAATTTTAATAATTGCAGAGGGAAGCCAATAGTAAAAACAAAAATGGTGAAATTTTTGCGCATGATTATGTCGTGATATTTACACTCTGTATTTCAAATCTTGCTTATGGAAAAATATACTCAATAATTCTAAAAAATAATTGTCAATAATGTGATATTTTTATAAAAAATAAAAAACAACAATGAAGAAAATGCAACTGAAACTGTAATCAATAGTCAAAAAATAATCACCGGTAGACTATGTTTTATACTCGTAATCTTAAGAAATAAACCACCATCGAGCATTATTAAGGATTTTATTAGTGTTCATTCATTGTTAACAAAACAAAACAATAAAAAAATAATAAGCCTGTTGTAGGTAACATGAGTACTATTAGCTTCCTTTTGGCAAAAAACACTGGCATCAAGCTATTCAGGTACATTGAGCGTTGGATTATTTTGCTTTTAGACGAAATGCTTGGAATATCACGTCTATTTTCAAGATTCAACGTTATATGATTTTAAGTCTGATTGGATTGATCAAAGGTGAAAATAATGAAAGTTGGTAAACGTAAGAAAAGGGAAAGGAAGAGAATAGAGGAATGCAAGATAAAGACTTAAGAGGGACACAGTACGGGATTCTTGAATATTCATGCGATCTCTCTTTGGCAAACGATGAATATTTAGGGCATAGACGAGATATATGGTGCTTTCGCATATATCCTCCGCTGATCCGTAAGAAATACATGGAAATTCAACAGGCTGGTATTCACAGGCGATTAAAACATTAATGATAATTTATACAAATGAGCATTTGGGATTGAATGGAAACCATGTTTACAGGACTATAATTTGGAATCCTATGTGAATATACAAAATGATTGTTAGTTTATTTCTTATTTTGTTGTGAATTGATGCACGAATGTCATGCAGAATATTCAATATCCGTCGATTCGGTTACGTATATATTTGAATGCATGAATATTTTTGTCTTGTATCGCTCTATCGGCTCCACGTACCCTGGCTAAAAAGTCATGTCGCAGTCATCCCTACAACTGTAATATGGCTATGCTCTTAAAGTTTCACTAACTTAATTGTTATTTAACTTCTTGTTGGACACCAGTTTACTCAGTCTATTATTTTCGAGTTTCACAGTCATACTACGATACTTTTACGATTTGCCTTGACGACTACTGTTCCCTATAGTTGCGCATAGAAAAAATTTACTTTCGTAAGGAATGATATGACAGGTACAGAAATCTCACCTCGGTACCTAATGAAAGACACGTGACAATTTTTCCTGACAAAAAAATTCCCATCCGCAAGTCACGGTCGACATTTTACCCACTACGCCAGCGAAGCGGCCGAATGCATGAATATTCACAGGGTTTCGTTTTGTTACAAAATGACCGTCGAATGGTATGAAATTTCACGGATCAACGAATTGCAGTTCATGCAGAAATTATTTAAACAATGTGCGCATTTCGCTGTATGTAATTTACGATTCAGTAAATTTATATCTGATGTATAAGTAATATTAATGTCAGATTTCCAGATGTTTTTTTTTCTTATAACATAAATCATACTGCGTAAATTCAAAAGTAGAAAAGCATTTATTTGTTCATCAGATATAATTTTCATCATAAAATATTTACATGAAAGTTGAATTATCTGCATTTTAATGTATAATGAGTTTATCATAAGTTATACTGAAATAAATTTTTCAATTAAAGTTATCGTCGTTGATTCAGCATTTCTATGAAGTTTCATCGAAAAGTATGCAAAGAAAGATATACAAATCAGTATAATAACCAAATGGCTTTTTTGATATCTGTGAATTGTATCATAAATGTGAAGTAAGAAGAAAAGAAAATTCCTGCATTACTTCATATCTTATAGTTTCTTTTACCTGATCTTGGTTCTAAGTTCGTCTACTCATACTAAGAAGGATAGACAATGAGATGCGTGACGTTTTTACCTCCGCCCTCCTTTTATCTTCATTCAAGCGGCCACTTCAGAAACTCATCTGGGGCTCTCTGCATTATAGAAGAAGCAAGCTCGTTTGGCTTCTTTTTACCTGGCGCCGCGCGTACTTTTTCCAATCCTTCGAGATCTTCTGAATTTCTTCAAGCGTACAATCATAGTATATTCCATTTATTTCTTTCAAAGATAAGAATCCGCTTTAACTATACCTATCCTATTCTAGATTATACTATAATGCTTTCAATTCTATGGCATTTTATATTTTGACAAAATATGTACAATGACTATTTATTAAAATATATTATTTTGTCTTTTTGTTTAATGATACATAGTATTTTTTAGTATTTTTTTGAAGAAGTGGTAGAAAAATTTTTCATGTTTTTTTTAAAACTTCAGATAATTGTCACGCTTGCCAGCTCCAATTGATCTGAAGCAATTTGAGGTGATTTAAAGTGAAATTTGATTCCGGACGACAAACTTTAAAATTCACGATGTACGAGCCAACTTTTGCAAGCATGATTGTACGGCAACTCTTCCGAAATAAGATATTACTTTTATAGAAGTTGTTAGAACATATAGTTGCAAATTTTTATTTGTTATTCGTTAATTTTGTTATCATCGAAATACTAACATGTTATTTAGTTCAGAATAATTAACATCTAAAAATCCAAAAAATGACAATCTGTTAACGTACAGAGCATTATAGAGTAAAACCATAATAATAATTTTAAATATTTTAATAGCTGTGTGAATGGAAAAAATTTAGAATTGAATTGTAAAGTTTACTTACGATAAAAAACATAAAAACTGATTATTCTTTTTCATAAAGATCATTTATAAAAGTATGAACAATAAATAATTGCATTCGTACATCGATTAAAAAACGCAGAATCCAATACAAGGTTACCGGCGAATAGAAACAGCATGTAAATAAAACAATGCATTAAAAGTGTCATACACTGCGTATGAATTTATTATTTTTCAATAATTGCTGACAAATAAGACAAAAAATTTTCTAAATATATAAGTAGAGTCGTGCAAGTATGAATGCGTGTAAATAGATAAGAAATGATAAAAAAGAGTCATGATATAAATAAATGCAAATTAAACATACGTTGATCTTACATGTGTATATATCAATTATAATTACGTAAAACCTAAGATTCGTATATTAAGATTATTATATAAGTAAGATGAAAACATAAATATTTATTATGTTATCTAATGAAAATATGTCACATAATAAACATCGAGTTTCTGTATTATACACGTAAGACATTTGCGAGTATAAACGTGTTTTTCTTATAAAACAACATATGAGTAGTTTAATAGCAAGCTAAAAAGCTATTTTCGTTTTTATTCAACAATCCAAAACAAAATTAACGAAACGACTTGAAAGACAAACGGGTATAAAACATAATATTTCGTTAATTTCTGATACTGCAAATGTGGTACAAAAGCAGACCAAAACAAACAACAATATTCAATCGTTAATACGCTAAACTACGAAATTACGAAAAAGATTGTCCTTGAGCCGATGTAGAGAAGTGTGGGTTTTGCTTCAATACGGATAAATGTTTTCCTCTAAAAATAGGATAAAGTATAGGAGAAAAAAGAGCTACGCTTTGTTATTAATTCACTGACGATATTGCGGAATTGAATTCAAGCTTTATGCCGTGCAATAATAAAATCAAAATGGGTAACTATACTTTGAATACCAAAAAGAACGAACAATACAAGCTAATCAGACTTATTGAATATGTACAAAATTCCGATGCTATAAAGGAATTATAAAAATTGGTGAATTGCAATTACAGAGTACAGGCACTCGATTGAAGTGCAATTCGCAATAATAGTCTGATACGTAGACTAGTTCTACCGTATTTTTAGCGCAAAGTGATTATCAACGAATCAGACTACGTATTAATATTTTAGTTTTTATTTTTCTTCGAAATATATTCACTATCACTAATCAATAATTTCAATGTTCCATGACTTCCGAAAACACTTTTTTATTTATAAACATACTCTCACGATTTTCATACTGATAAATTAAGATGTACAACTTATCGGCTGCATAATTTAGTCTATGACGTCTACAAGACTAACAAAATATAACGAAGTTGTAATATCGCACACTACTCTTAAAATTCGATTTTTTAAATAGCTCAAAGTAGCTCTCCGAACAAGTTTTATTTTCAGGAGACTTCGTCAAAAAAATGAATTACTTAATAATATCTACTATCGAGTATTTATTTGCAGATCAATCCAAAAATAAATCGAAAAATATTATAATTTATTTTATTTAATTTAAAATTCACGTGCGTTATTTAGCATGAAATCAATAAATTACGTAAAAAGTGCGAAATTACCACGAGTATAAACGCAAGTTTTTACTTGCACTATAAATCAGAATGCGTTTATAAGCACACATAAAAAAACAGTTTTTTATTTTTTTCCCTCAAGCCATATATTTTATATTCAGCGCCCTTCTTGTTATCTCGATACAGCCTGAAAGAGAGAGAGGGTAACTAATATACGTCGTCTGTCAATTAGTGTCGCAATTTCTCGATATCCGATGGAATTAGAAACCGAAGTGCATTTATTTGGGTCAGATTTTGATTCAAGCACATGAGCTATGAACCTGAGCAGATAGATAGTTTGTCGATTTTATATCCCTCCACAACGATGGTTTGATTAATTTACCACGTTGAAATTCCCTCGCTCCTTCGAGCGAAATCCGAATGAGATAAATCTCACGGTACTCTCTCCTGGTTCTATCTCTCTCTCTCTACACCCTTCCTCTAAGCTGTTTTCGTTCATTGGGAAATTGTGTTTGCGCCCAATTCTCTCTCTCTCTTTCTCTCTCTTTCTCTACAGCTCTTGACTGGTTTGTTAAGGAGTATCTAAATTAATTACCTGCAGTTTCAAGTGTCAATGATAATTTTCCGATTGACTCACGTAACTATTTTTTCTTTACATATATCCAGCATTAACTTTATATCATTAATTTTTCGAGAAAATAAAGGAAATAAGTTAATAAGGAAATACAAATAATTTATTCAAATATTTTCGAGTGGTTGCTAAATGAAAGAAAGAAAAAAATAGTCCCTGAATATTAATCAAAGTAGTGAATATATTTTACGGACAGAATAAAAAAATAATAGTTCAATTTATTTACTTATCAATATGATCTCAGTGTTGTTTTTATTACTTTGTGAATGCGTATTTCGCCATGGGCTACATATAGCATAGCGTTCGCTGCATAATTTATCAATTTTATATGGCAGCATGCAAAAAAATTATTCTAAAACGTGTAAATGACGAGGAAAATCATAAATCATTAAAATTACTGACTCTCGAGAAAAACATAATATACTTTTCTCTCGATGACATTATTTTTCGTTTGACCGTCTAGTTATTTATATTATTTTATTCCTCGTTTGTACTTCAATGGTATTTATTTAACTTTATCCGCGTCTCTTTGTTCCGTCTTGTAAAGTTTTTTTGCTTTCTTCTTTTAGCGATAGCTCTCGATCTCTGTACTTTCAACTTCCCAAACAAATACTACAAACACGAAAAATAGTTTATCATCGTTTCTCAAAGTTCGCTGTTTACCTCTTATTTTTCTCTCATTTAATTTTGCAACTATCGAGATAATATATTGTTCTTTTTCAAAGAAAAGACAAGCATTTTCATGCAAACGGCTCTCATTTGGAGTCGAGCGAGAAAGTAGCGTGAAAATACTGAATTTAGCAAGTAGAACAAGAAAATATCGGCATATGACATGTCGCTCCAAAAATTCTCGCTCCGTCCGTATATAAGTCACAAGGTCTTAACTTATACGAAGAGAGTAAGGGAGAGAGAGAACAGCAAAAAGTTAGGGATTTAAATTATTTATTACTGTGAATTCATATATTATATTCCAAACGGTTATGGGAATTAAGATTTTTATATTCGAGATGCTGCTTCTTATATTTGAAACGGCTAGAACGAAACGTTAATTAATAGACTATAGTACTACATTATCTTCAAAATTATTAATAGACAGACTATATTTAATCTGAAAAGAAAATATTATTCCATGATTAATTTAATATCATTAATGCATTCAGCATAATGACAAGGATTCAGAATAAAATCTCTTGTTATAAGTGATATATACTATTATTTTTTCAAACAATGTCACTGCTTAAATAAGGATATATTAATAGTATTTTTTTCAATTTTTCAAAGTTGTCTTGCGTTAGTTGTATGTACGAAGAGTACTGATGCGTTGTACAGACATCTAAATTTATAAATGAGAATGTTATAATATTCTTTTGTACTTGTTTCATAAAATATAAATTCGGTTTCATAATAGATATTTAGAGTCTTATATCCTTATATTCGGTATACATTCTATAAAGAATTGATCCTTCGCAAGCACAGAATGTTACAGTTAAACATAAAGTAATACTTTTTAAGTTTTTCTGTTGTCGTTATTTTCTTTGTTTTTATTGAGAAATTATATATACAAAATTTTTATTCGATCACTAATTAAATAAGCATTGATTTATTATTTTTACAAAGTTAATTGATTTTGCAAAAAAAAATCAAAAATAATGTGATTGAAATGGCAAAACCTTTAAAAATTAGCCAAAAAGTAAATGTAATTTAAGCTACTGATCAGAAAAAATTGAACAATGATTTAGTTAACGCGCGTTGAATTTTTGCAACTAAACTATTTAAAAAGCTTGAACGAAACTAAAGCATAACAATTTTTTCTGATAATTCATACAATCACTAAAAATGTTAATTGTCTTGTTACTGCGTGAATCAAACTGTAAAATGATGTTAATGCTTCGTTCCACATTGAAACGATACTTTCATAATGTACATCTGACAAAGAACCTATATAAAAGATAATACTCATCTGCTATATAATTTCATATCTGATGAAGATGGTGATGATGTTTCATACTACAATATCCCATAATTCAAAAACCGGCAGGTCATTTTTTTATAAAATCGTCTTGAAACAATTTTATGTATAATTGTACTATAACAGTTGAGGAATTTCTAAGTGTATCTTACATATTGTATATATACTGTAAAAAATGTATTTTAAAATCATGAGGCTCATATTCGCATATTTCACTGAAAACAATAATAATGATGAAATTGTACATATAATATACTGTAAGAACCTGTAAAATCTTTAACAAAATAGGGTTGTATTCAAATATAAGCACCTTAGAAGAGATAATAATCATATACACACCTACAAGCAATCGATATTATTTTTTGATTTATCATTTTTAATTTTTTGTTGTTTTGGTCCGACAAGTTCGTAAAACGGGTGCTAAGAGTAATGCAGTTTACAAAAGAGGCATTTAATTAAGAAAAAATGAAATGGAAAAATCTTAATTATCTCATAATATAAAGAGATTCACTTGCGCGTGACAACAAAAAAAAAACGAATATTCACACTCTACATTCGCACCCCAAGTGCGACAAAATATTAGAGACGGCAAAGGTCAAACTTTTCTAATGATAATAATGAAAGAAAATAATTTAAAAAATGAAAATCTCTATGTGTATTTTAAGAGAAAAATACTCTTGACGTAAGCAATGCACTGTAAGTAGTTGAAAAATTTTATTAACGTGTTAATGTTATAAAAAGAAAAAAACAAAAGCGACAGTGGAAAAAGTCCCAATAAATGTGTATGAATAAAGAATAAATTGATGCTACATTTATTATATTATATAAAACTTCCTGCTACATTAAAAATGCTTTCGATTTCAATTGCAATGTGGTATTTCGTTTGAAAAACGATATACCACATTGCACAACTGTCCAAGATTCGAATGATTTGTATGAGATCCATCTTTATACAAGAGTACTCTAGATACTGAAAAAACTATTATTTCCAGTTCATTCTATAATATACATGGTCTAACGAAGTTTTTTCAATCTTTTGAAATATTTGCAAAAAATATAAGAAAAAAGAAATTTTACAATCAACTGTTCTAATATTTCAATTACATGCGTAATACTCGGCGATAAAAATCCGAAACACATACTGTATTTATGTATTTTCCATTATGAAAAGTAATATAAATAAATAAATATATATATAAATATTTATATATATACATATATAAATATGATACATGATACGTTTGACGATGTGCGACAAAAACAATTTACATAGCGTTTTTTTGAATCATTTGTAGTTTGCAGCGCAGACTTCACTCAGAGATTAATATAGTTGGTAACATTAAATGTGAAAAATAAAAAATGTAACGTTGAAAAAAATACAAATATTTAAAAAATCTAAAAATATATGCTGTTTTATATTTTTCAAACTTATTAAATTCCATTAACTCTGAATCTTATAAAATTGTTTTCATTATTGGACGAAATAAAATCTCATCAGTTCATTTATATTTGAAAAAATTATTTATAGCAGGTTTTACTAATAAAAAAGTAATAATAAAATTGTTTTCTATAACAATTAAACAAATTACATATTGTAATTTTATTTTTCTGTAAGACTATTTCTTTAGAATTTTTGTTTGTAATTTTTAAGATAGAGATTTGAATAACAGTCTGACCAAACTAAAGTTAATACTACTTAATGGTAAGTATTTCAAATCACGTATTTTTTCGATGTCAACTATACCTTGATGTAACAAAATGGAACAATAAAGATAAAGAGATGCAAAATACCTTGAGTTTCACAAGTTTAATAAATATTGTATTTTCAATCTTTGCTACGCTTAGACAAAATCAAATCTGAGACCTGGAGAATTATACGCAACACCGTGTTCAGCTTGTTACTATGGCTTAGCAATTTAAAAAATATAATAAATATGTAATAAAAATACTTGAAAGAACGGAGAAGGTGCGCTATTCACAAGTGACAAAATTCGGAACGAGAATTAAAGAATTATGGCTTTAATGAAGCTTGAATTACAAGTAAGTAGTAAAACAGGCCACAAAGTTACAAACGAGATGAATACAAATAAAAAACGATTATAATTAAAGCCGAAGTGGTACGGAAAACATATGACAAATAGTACAAGTAGAAAGAGAGCTAAAAATGCTTAAAGCCGGCTACCTGAGGTTCGTTGAACCCTTACAAATTTTCACGGGTTGAATGGCCATTCGGGCTTTCGCTTACCAATTGACGTCAACACCAGGATATTAAGAACACACACGGACGCACCACAGCTCCGACATCTCGAGCTTGTACACGTACACAAACACACACACACATATACTGCGGTAACATCTAGGATGCTGATCTGATGGGCAGAGAAAAATTATGGCAGCACCCCAGAGGAACTAGTACGACCTCTGCTAACGTAATCAGTCTTTTTGCACGACGTCACTGGGCTCGCAGAGGTACCTTCTTGACAAACTCGCGTGCACGCGGGTAGGTTACAAAATCCACACATACACAAAGAGAGACTGGAGAAATCAGTGCACGCACACAAGAGAGAGATCAACAACACCGAGAATTAACTGTGGAAACGTCAATATCTCGGAAGGAACTGTCCTCACCCTCCTCAAATACACAAGAAGGGTCACGGAGAAAGCTTACGTCTCACTCCTGGGCCTTACATAAGGGCTAATCAACGTCAGCGTAATGCGAGGCCGGAAAATTCCACGCGCGTTCGTTCAACTGCCTCCGGACGGCCAGCGACTGACCTTTTTGTTTTTGTGGCGCTTTCTCTTCATACATGCGGCATAGATGTGAGGTGATTGCTCGCCTTGGAAAATCGCGTAGGATGAGCAATCTCTGCCTACATATTTCTAACACATGTTGCGAAGGCCGGCATAAGGTTCGCTACACATTATTAGAGATAAATGTTCTAAGTCTCTCTCTCTCTCTAGCTCTCTCATGAAGCGCAAACGCCGCGAACACGCTATTTCTGTCATGTTTCAAACAAGTTATTATCTAGATTGGAAAAAGACATTTTACGAAAATTCTAATTCCTTGAATAGCGTTCGTATCTATAATTTATTTATGTTGTTTAGTCATGTTTAAAATAATAAATTAAATATTTTTAATTGCACCGTAAACAAAATTTTTCAACAATATTCAAATTCTATTATTAAAAAACGAATTATTTCGTGAATAATTTATAAAAAGACAATAACCCTTACTGGTCAAAAATAAAATAATCTATGCAACATAGTGATTAAGTTATCGTGATATCCTCTTATTCTTTTATAAAAAAGAGAGTTTGACAAAGTGAAGCTAATTTATTCATGATCTGATTGGCTGAAAGATAATCATGTGATCACCTATTACGTGATAGCATAATATCCGTTGTGTTTGTTCATGAAAGATAATCCTCTTATAAATTAAATCCACTTATAAAAAGAGAACCTGACAAAGTGAAGCCAGTTTATTCCTGATCTGATTGGCCGAAAGATAGTCACGTGATCATTCGTTATATGATAGTATAAAATTTGTTGTGTTCGTTTATGAAACATAATTACTGCAGATTTTCGTAGTTGATTAAACATTCGAAAAGTCTATCAATTAATAGTTGACATGAATTTAATATGAACTGATAGATTTAATTATGCTACCCGCAAAATAAAAATCGACTAATATTTTGGCAAAAAAATTAATTGAACTTTGCTCTATGTAAAATTTTTGCTTCCAATAAACAGAGTAAACATTAAAAGATATAGACCGATAGATTATTGTGATAAAATATTTTACAGTTCTTTTGACTTCATATAGTTACATAAAAAATTAGAAATTTATTTTGAATACACACTAATTAGAAATATGAACGTCTACCGGAGTATGTTTTACATTGTAAAGGACGTGGTATACAATAATATTTTAAAAACTTATATTATTACATTTTTTCGTTTTTGAGTTAATTGATAACATTGATAACATTTTTAAATCAAGAGTATAAAATTAATAGCATATTTATTTACAAATAAATTATATTACCACTATATCTCATGTTAAATCATAGGAATATTTAGTACATATCGAGTTTATGAATGTCAAATTTTTAATGTCGCTAATAAAAATTTTGATCTATATTAGTACATTAAAATGAAAAAAAGACAAAAAAAATGAGGGTGTGAAACGTGCTAGGCATTACTAGTCCAATTAACATTAGCATTAAACAGAGCGAACGTATAGCATTGAGAAAATAGAATCTAGCAGTGCAACGCTGACATTTATCGCGCGCCATTTTAGCGTTCCATGACAATTAACGTCGATGGCACTATAAAGCCCCTCTCTACGAGGCATTACACGGATTCATTCGGAAATTTAGCTAGGTACTTGGCTAATGCATAATTTACATCAAGGACCGGGAGAGACGTGACAAGAGAGAGAGAGAGAGAGAGAGAGAGAGAACGAGGACGAGTTTTGTAAAACGCTAGATAACGAGCTACAGACGTTAATTGTTTTCATTTTTTTACGTAGTCGCATTCATCTCCCCCCCCCCCCCCCCCCCTCTTTCTCTCTTGATGCACTTGAAAAGCCAACGCATATGTTTCTGCACTACATGTTTGTACACACTATCTATAAATGAGCATTATATACAAAATAAATACAAAAACATGACAAATTAAAATTGCACGTATTTAATGAGTTTTGTAACGAAGAATACGTAACTTAACATATTTTAAAATGCACAACAATAATATTAAATTTATCATTATTTCTCGTACATATTTAGGGATCTCTTTAAGAATTCCTGTTCAAATCTCCACAAAATGAAAACTTTATTCTCTTGAGCTTTCATCAAGTATTTATGCTGATTGGGCTTGTGATAACGAAAACCTCATACTAACAGTATAGGTCTGTATAGACCTCGTACCACAGTATTAAAAGTCTACACGTAGAATGAGTTTAACGAATTAGATTACACACACGCACACATACACATATATACATATACATAGATATACACCATAGGAGGCGAGAGTATTGTAGTTCGCATAAGCTGTTTTCTGATTCTATAATTGTAACGCGTGGTGTGTGAGAAAAAGAAATTATTTGTCTTATATTTCAAGCTTTTATCGAATAAACTCGGATATGCTAGGCTTTTCAGTGAAGTTTACTAATCATCTGATGAGCTTGGGTAAATGAAAGTTTTAAATAGTTTTACTCGTTAGATTATAAAATAAATTTATTTCAGCAAATGTGGAAAATTAACAGAAACTCCAGTTTGAAATAATGTTTGCGATTCGAAATTTATCTTGAAACTTTGATTGCAATGAGTAACATTACTAATAAAACCATTCCAAGGTAACATGAATTATCGGATCATTTTAGATCTTTAAAAAATTATAGTCACGGGAACTAGTTGAACTTCTATCGTACAATTAGTTAAAGTCGTGAAAGCTTCAGTATAGTTAGACTATACAAACCCAAAGCGTAATGCACCGTAAACCTCATGGGTAAGAAGCTTTCTCTTCAACTTCGTCACTTTGTCTTTTCGTTTGACAATCGTTTCGGTAACCTACTTGGCATTTTTGGTCTTATTCGAGATTTGATATTTCAAACTTATTGAGTTTTCATTGTGGTAAAAATTAGAAATATATCAATAAACCTATATTCTAAATTAATTTTCATTTCCCGATAAAGATGATCTTTATCTCAAATTAAAATTAGAGTTAAAAAAGACGGCTAATATTAATGTGACAAGTAGCCGCACACGTTAGTGATATAATCAGAGATCCATCTTTCTCATTCTCTCTTTATCGAATAGTAGAGCTCGAATTTGTCTTATCGAGAAACGTTTCCTCGCCTGACACCCGTGAATTCAGCGGTGCACGCGACTCGTTTCGCTCTCCTCCTCCCTAAAATAGGCGGCTATCAGAGCAGGATATAATCGTCATCGTCTGCGCGTGCGACGGAAATCGAGCGTATGACCAGCGACATTGAGTTGGCTTCACCTTGATAAGGCTCAATTTCAGAACCACAGAACTTTTCACTGCTTTTCGATTGATTTTGTAACTACGATCGACCAATATTAAACCTTCAACATTTTTTTACCTAAAGGTTTGCTTTGTGTTGCCACATCGAATGAGCACGCAAAATAATTGATTGATTACACTTACAAAAAAGAGATAATTAATTGCAAAAGTTAAGATATACTGTTAAACTCGAAAGGATTCTAGAAAGTTTACCCAATTTGTCTAAAAAGGAAAAAGTCATGGTATTGGCAG